CCATTAAATACTTGATCATCAATAATATCCTCTTCCATATTTCCATGAAGTTCTTGATCACCATAAATCAAATTAGGTTGGAATGGCATAACTCTGGAATTGTGCAATATATCATCATAACAAAATTGTAATTTAAATATAAATTGTATTATCAAATTTAACATATTATACTATAATGTAAATTGAATTCATACCCTATTTGAAATAATTGACCATCACTGACATGGTCTGTGTCTTCTATAATTTCCTCGTTTATAATACCATTCAATACTTGATCATCAATAATTTCCTCTTCCATATTTCCATGAAATTTTTTATCACCACATATCATATTATGTTGAAATGGCATAACATTAGAACTATGTAATATATCATCATAAGACAAAATAATAAATTATAAACTGTACAATCAAATTTAATATATGTGGCAATATAAATTTAATTTATACCCTATTTTTAATACTTGACTATCATTGTGATGGTCTTTTTCATCAATTATTTCATCTCCAATACCTCTATTAAATACTTGAATATCAATATTTTGTGAAATAAAAAAATTATTAAATAAACTATTCCCAAAACGTAGGTACAAATTAAATTTTGTAATGCCACAATAATTATAATGTATACTCACTTGGAATGAATCCATTGTGCAATTATCAATTGCAATTCTGAATGGTTCCATATTGAATTATGTTCACTTTATTTTTTGTTTTTCAAGTAAGTACTGTGAACACAAACTATTACAATTAGGGACCATTTATGTCAAACATATCATCAAATCTTAAGAGGGGTTTGCAAATTGTGCATTTGGACCTATTTTTTACTTTACCATAAATAAACTGATCAACTTATATTTATTTAAAATTGGTTATTGAGCTAGAATTTTATATAAATATTACTATTTTTTTTTATATACAATTTCAGCATGTTCCTACGATTGAGCAACCACAAAAAACAAGTTAACAGTTATAAATTATATGTTTAAGAATACATTTTAATAAAAAAAATAGGATTTTTAGTTATAGTATTTTACTAATGAATAATACAGATTGTCCATGTATTACAAAATCACATTTCATCTTTTAATTATACTCTAAATGTTTTTTTATAAAAATTAGATAGCAATTTTAGGGATTTCTCCTTCTCTACTGTTGAAGGATCGGATATTGCAGTAACTTTAAACAAATTAAAAATTTGAAGTAACTATTTTGTCACCATGGGAGTTGTAGTGCATTGGCAAACAGTTTGCTGGTCCACATAAATTTAAACATATCCAGCACCTGGATAATAGCAGATGACATAACAGTGGTGCATTGCTAAAAATATTTGTTGGTGTACGCTTGTAGGACCTGGTTAAATCATAGTTGTAAATGGTATAATCTTAATTCTAGTCAAAACCATTTTTCTCACTGAGAGGTGTAATACACTTAAAAATCTTATCATGTGTATCATATTAGAACTATACAAGTATTTTTCAACCCCTAACTGAATGAAAAGCAAGACAAAACTCAACAACTTTTGTTTTTTATATAATATTAAAGTAAAATATATTATGAAATATGAAATTAAAATTTGCACTAAAAATATTGAAAATGAATTTGTCCACAAATGTGGTGACTTTATACATATTTGTATGTATTATAAATTTACAAGCGTACCAAGTAAAAAATAGACATAATATATTTATATCGGTATATATTATCTGAAACTAGTAATTGGTTGTCTATTCAGCTTTTTTTATTATGTTTTAAATGGTATAGTTTAATATTTCAAAGAATAAATTATAATAAAAATAGGATTCCTAATACTCATCTCATTCCCTACATACCATTTTCTGTTACATAACTATTCTTGCTTTTAAATACAGGAAATGTCCCCACAGTTTCACCAATCAATAATATCAATAGTAAATATGTCCCATTGCTGAAAAACATTTTCTTGTTGATACATCAATATAAAAATATCTCTGTTGAATTGTTGATTGATTATTTTAAGAATTTTGCTCTAGTTTAGGGATTGCTCCGCCGCAGGTTGAGCCGATTTGAAGTACCACTAGATAATTAAAATGGTAAGACATACGTTTTAATTAATTTATGACAGCTATGGCAGTACATTGTCAAGAATTGTTTTTGTCCAAACTAGTATAAAATTATACCTCACTGGGATACTGAGTTATATTAATACATTCGTTGAGTTTTTAGTTAATTTCTATCAGAACATTTTTATTTTAAGTTATAAATAATAAATATTCTTTATTATCAATGAATGGAGTAGGTACATAAGAGTTAAACAGAGATTATAGCTATTTAAGTTTGTGTACAACCGCTAATATAATATTACAATTTGTAATTTTAACAAGCCTATGGACTTATCATTTTATACCTTCATAGAAAACATTGATTTCAGTCTGTGATATTCAATTTGTATTTACCTATTGCAGATACTTTAATTACATTTTAGTTTAACATTCTACGTATTGAGTTTGGTGTTAATTTTTTATTTACCTATTATAAACTGTTGATATTAAACATATTTATTACAACTAACAGGCTGGTTCTTACTGCTCATTCAAGCCGGATAATTTATTAGCTAAGTCTATTACCACAATATCATCTCCCATAAACGGCACCAAAACTAATTATCACCAAAAGGTAAAATCATGACAACAATTATTAAAATTATCTCTATTTATTAATAGTACTGATGGGCGATGGCCAAAGTCGACTGGCGTCTTTCGAATTGGCTTCGGGTGATGTCAATGTGCGATTTACAAATACATAAACCTTTTAATAGTTGACAATTTATTCGAGTGATACTAAGCCCATGATAATTACCGTAAAGAAAATGAAGGGCAAGCACTGACCTTTTCAAGCCACCTATTGGAGTTAAATCGGAGCCGATCTGCTTGGTCTCGCCGAACTGCCGTGTCTTGAAGCTGAACTGCTGTAGTGGAGGGAAGTACCAATGGTGTTAAACAACGTAATTTGGACCCGAACTGATCGATCGTTGCATTCAATGGACCTGAACTGGTCTTTAATACTCTTCAGCAACGGTCGTACCGCCGAAGATAATTAGGGCTTTTAAAATAAAAAGCACAACACTGGCGAACGAATACCGTGTTGTCGAAAACAACGATAATCAAAATTGAATAGCGAACATTAAGAGAAACGTGCTTCTTGGTTACAGTCGTTACCAGATAAGTAAAACCACCTGCAGCGGCTTCGCTCTTCCGTACGTGTAGCCCAAACTAGTCGCCGCGTGCTTTAACCGCACGGCGCGCCTTAGTCGACTCACTAATTTGTTTATTATAAATGTATGAAAATAAATTATGCGGCTGACAATAATAATATTTATAGATTAATGTAGTATGGAAAATACGAAGTATAAATGGATATTTACTTATTCCCTATAAGGTTACTCATTTTCGGTAGTAACATTCAAGTACGGAGAACCCCTGGTTTTTGGTTTTCACGCAGCCACCGGATCACTTTTTTTGGAGCGTCTGCGGCCTGAAAGTATTGAATAATGTGACTCGGTAAAATTATATTTCCACAAATGACAACCATTGTAGATAAAAAAATGTTAAAATGTTATTTTTTTGGTAAAGTACACATGAATATTTTATGATTATAGAATTTACAAGTATAAAGCTAATAGACCTGCAGTCTACTATAAAATAAAATAGCCATTATTATAAATCAAAAAAGTGTACGAATATTAAAAATAGCTGTTATTGTTTTATTTATAACTCTAATCATCTACCATATTCTTACCAATTATATTATTACTTTAGTTATTATGATTTAAAAAAAAATAATTAATATCTTCAATATTCTACGTAGAGACAAATGTTTGTTTATTTTATTATATTATAAATAATAAATATTAAAAATTAAATATAGGCTTGTGGAAAAGTGCACCTATAGTGGCTTAGTATATGACCGTACAAATATGTATACAAAAAACAAATAACCAATACAATTTTAATTTTGATACCCAATAGTAAAAAAGTAAAACTATGGTCCGATTTTAAAAGTGAATTTGAAGAATGGGCCGAATCAATCTCTTGCTGCAATTGAAACCGGATACTGCGCACGCCCATCAGTCGCATGATATATAAAATTGGTGTGTCCACAATATACCAGTTTGGGAACATCCACCCTCTACACAGGCAGTGTAATGTGACGTAATCATTTCGTCGTTTCTCATTGGTCCGGCGCCACTGCCGCCGCTAACGACGACTCCTCCACCACTCAACCATCAGCCTGTTGGCGAAATGCTACATCAGAGACATGCTTATTAAGTGAGTTGATGACATAACTATTTAACTTATCCTGATAAAGCGTTTCTAAAACGAAACCAGTCACAAAGAGCGAGTTTTGCCATGCTCCGCCCGTCCCAGCCGATCAGGCGGTATTTGGTTTCTCTGCCATTGGGAAGGTTGAGGGTTCAGAAAACCAGTATCGCAGTTGGTGGAAGCATTGAACCAACATTCAGGGCGATTCTTTTATCAAACAACACTCAATATTTCAAACAAAACATTAACTTTTTACACATTTGTCCTTATTCGAAATTTTAGATTTACGCTGTTCTAGAATTGTTCAAATTTTTATATTTTTTACCCTTATATTTATTGGGCAAACCACTATCAACTTTTGATTTTCAAATAGTTATCTATACTTTAAATTTCATAAATTAATAAGGCTGTTTTTTTATGAACTATCACTTTAAAACATTCTTTTTTCGTTCATCGGTTGATTAGATATTGCTACTCAAAGTTGGGTGGTTTTGGGAGGTGGTTATTGTGTGGAAATGTGTTATACCTCGTCAGTAGATACCGCAGCTATTAGGATTTTAATGCCTCGGGACAAAAGATAATTTTTTGAAAACCCTTTTTCAAATCTCTTCACAGAATACACAAAACTCCTAAGAGTATTTTATATTGTTCATTTCCAAGAGAATCATGCAATTCACCCCCACGAACTCAACGAAGGTGATTGTGGCACTGGTCATAATAACAGGTATGTACTTATCAATTATAAATACCAGAAATTATTTGTA